GCTTACTTAGCAAGCATACTGAGCTAAGTAGGAGTTTAATGAGTTCTACTGTTGGGTTATACGCACCAAAATTTAATTAAGTTTCTGATCTAATGCCCCCCTTGTTTCCCTGATTAGGGGAGTCATGAGTGGACCATGTCATTCTCAGAAGGACAGTGCAATTGTGAAATCTGAGCAGTCTATATGGTTTTTTTTGCCCAAATGTTCCTTTCATGTCTCATTAGATTATTATGAGTGTTACAGCTGTGCTAATCTTTTTTTCTGAGAAATGAACTTTTAAAATTGCACATTTAAAAAGTGACTTCTAGAGTTACCATGGCAGCTTCATTATAATGCACAGAGATGAGCATTATCACAGCTCGGTCTGATCTATCCAGGGCTGTCAGGAAATGAGAATTCCACATAAAGTGCATGCTCCAGTAGGGCTCATAAAACTTGCCAGATCAAGTGCCTAGACTTTCAGTTTAACAATTTGAAATGAAAAGCTTTCTGTCATATACGGCACACATCTCTGTTTCCTTCAGTATATTCTTGATGACTCAGGATCTCTGTCATCAATAGCTTATTGTACTTAGAGCTACAAACAGTGCTGTTTGATTTTTTAGTCTCCTTTTTCATCTCAGTTTGCCAGCTGCTTATGATGACCAGGGACACTAAGAGTCGTTTCAGACCCTGAGAGGGTTTTTGCCCCCCACCCCCCACCAAGGATAGATTTATAAAGATATGTCATGTCACCTAGAGAGTCTAGGTCCTTTGCTGGGGACTTGATGGGCAAAAATGGCAGATTTGTACTAATATGCAATGTAGTTGGTTCCTGAACCTTCTTTCTAGAGGCATGATTTGTGTTTTCTCCTGACTTCCTGTGCATAGTCCAAGATAATTACTCCCTACCCACCCCTAGATTTACCATGTTCTGATGGACTATTTCTTACCTCTGCACTGAGTACCTTAAACAGTTCCTTACATAGAAGTTTCTAGATCTCCAAATATGGAGCTAAGACTCACCATTCATCATGAAACTTAAGGATGCAAGCCTGCTTAACCTTCCTGGGCCTGTTTTCTCATCTATAAAATAATGTCATTTAGATAAAATGCAATTATATATTTGGAATACATGGTATAGTCTCCAACTCATAGGAAGAATTCAGTCAATGAAAAAAACTATATGTGTGGAAAATGATAGTGGTTGTAGATAAAAAAAGACTGATAAATGGTTGTATTATAAAGACTATTTTAGGGCCTTGAAATTCTATTATGGCTTAAGTATTGAGCTTCCATCAGTTATTTGTCTGTGTGGCCTCTTTTTGTGTCCATTACTTCTGTATGAAGTCTATAGTAACAACTTTGTGTAGTCCATCCCATAAGTAAACTTGTAACAAAATTAGAGATTAGAGGTGTCTAACATAATGCATTGAGCTCAAATTGTGGGTGTGGCTTAGTAAAAAAAAATGTGACTTTTGTTTCTGAGAGGAGCCATCTCATTATCTCAGACCCTGTGTTTTCTTATCTCTAAAATAAGGATAAAAGTATCTTCTTCCAAGATGTGGTATATATATATAATGGGATATTACTCAGCCATAAAAAGGAATGAAATTGGGTCATTTGTAGAGATGTGGATGGATCTAGAGACTGTCATACAGAGTGAAGTAAGTCAGAAAGAGAAAACAAATATCGTATATTAACATATATATGTGAAACCTAGAAAAATGCTACAGATGAACCAGTTTGCAGGACAGAAATAGAGACACAGATGTAGAGAACAAACGTATGGACACCAAGGGGGGAAAGTGGTGGGGGCAGGGGTGGTGGTGTGATGAATTGGGAGATTGGGATTGACATATATACACTAATATGTATAAAATGGATAACTAATAAGAACCTGCTGTATAAAAACATAAATAAAATTAAATTTAAAAATTAAAAAATATATATCTTCTTCCAAGATTAGAAAAAGATAAAATTTGTACATAGTAAGCACATAATAATGTTATTGTCAGGTATTTAATTTCTAGATGTAATTACATATAAAATAAGGGCTACTGAAAAATAAAATCTGAGTTCACTCTTGGCTGAATGTATGGCTCACCAGAAAGGATGATATATAAAATTATAGAGTGGGGTTGTACACTATCACTAAAGCAGTGGATCAACAATCATATTATAAGTTAGGAGAACACTTCCCTCCCTTGCTCTTCCTTAAGTGTAGAAAACAATTCATTTACAATTGCATCAAAAAGAATAAAATACCTAAGAATAAATCTAACTACAGAGGTAAAAGACCTGTACTAGGAAAACTATAAGACACCAGTGAAAGAAATTGAAGGCCACACAAGCAAACGAAAAGATATACCATGCTCATGGATTGTAATAATAAATATTGTTAAAAAAAAAAATGACCATACTACCCAAGGCGGTCTACAGATTCAGTGCAATATCTGTCAAAATACTAATGGCATTTTTCACAGAACTAGAACAAATAATTCTAAACTTTGTATGGAAACACAAAACACCCTGAATAACCAAATAATCTTGAGAAGGAAGAACAAAGCTGAATTATCATGTTCCCTGATTTCAAGCTATACTACAAAGTTGCTGTGATCAAAACAGTATGGTAATGGCACGAAAACAGACACATATATGAATGGAACAGAATAGAGAATCCAGAAGTAAGCCCACACTTACATGATTAATAAATCCACAACAAAGGAGGCAAGAATATACAATGAAGAAAGACAGCCTCTTCAGCAAATGGTGCTAGGAAAACTGAACAGCTCCATGCAAAAGAATCAAACTGGACTGCTTTCTCACACCATGTATAAAAATAAACTCAAAATGAATTAAAGACTTATGTAAGACCTGAAACCATAAAACTCCTAGAAGAAAACATAGGCAGTACACTCTTTGTCTTAGCAATACTTTTTTTTTTTTCAGATATGTCTCCTCAGGCAATGGAAACAAAATCAAAATAAACAAATGGGATTACATCAAACTAAAAAGCTTTTGCACAATGAAGGAGACTATCAATAAAATGAAAGGCCACCTAGTGAATGGGAGAAGATATTTTCAAATGATACATCTCATAAGAGGTTAATATCCAAAATATACGAAGAACTCATACATCTCAACATCAAAACACACACACACACACACACACACCCCATGATTAAAAATGGGCAGAGATCTTGAATAGACCTTTTTCCGAAGAAGACATACAGATAGCCAACAGACACATGAAAAGATGCTCAACATTATTAATCATCAGGGAAAAGCTAATTAAAACCACAATGAAATATCACTTCACACCTGTCAGAATGGCTATTAAGCAAAAGACAACACATCACAAGTGTTGGAAAGGATGTGGAGAAAAGGGAATCCTCATGCACTGTTAATCAAAATGTAAATTGCTGCAGCCACTTTGGAAAACAGTATGGAGTTTCCTCAAAAATATTAAAAATAGAGCTACCATACAATTCAGCAATTCCAAAGAAAACAAAAACACTAATTTGAAAAGATATATGCACACTGCAGTATTTACAATAGCACAAGATATAGAAGCAACCTAAGTGTCCATCAATAGATAATGGATAAAGAACATGTGGTATATATATAACAGAATATTACTCAGCCATAAAAAAAGAATGAGGGCTTCCCTTGTGGCGCAGTGGTTGAGAGTCTGCCTGTCGATGCAGGGGACACGGGTTCGTGCCCCAGTCCGGGAGGATCCCACATGCCGCGGAACGGCTAGGCCCGTGAGCCATGGCCGCTGAGCCTGTGCGTCCAGAGCCTGTGCTCCGCAATGGGAGAAGCCACAAGAGTGAGAGGCCTGCGTACCGCAAAAAAAAAAAAAAAATTAAACCTTGCCATTTGTGACAACATAGGTGGACCTAGAGGGTATTATGCTGAGTGAAATAAGTCAGACAAAGACAAATACTGTATGATTTCACTCATATGTGTAATCTAAAAAACAATAAATGAACAAACAAAACACAAACGGAGTCATAGATACAGAGAACAAACAGGTGGTTGTCAGAGGGGAGGAGAGTCAGGAGATGTGTGAAATAAATGAGGGAACTTAAGACGTACAAACTTTCAGTTACAAAATAAATGAGTCAGGGGTATGATATGTACAGCATGGGAAATATAGTCAGTAGTAACGTAATACCTTTGTATGGTGGCAGATGGAAACTAGACTTATGATGGTGATCATTTTATAATATAGAGAAATATCGAATCATTATGGTGTGCTCCAGGAACTAACATAGTGTTGTAGGTCAATTATACTTCAAAAACAAATAAACTCGTAGAAAAAAAGATCAGATTTGTGGTTACCAGAGGCAGTGGATAAAGGGAAGAGGGACTGGTTGAAATGTGTCAAAAGGCACAAACTTCCAATTATAAGATAAATAAGCACTAGGAATATAGTGTACAACATGATTAATATAATTAATACTGCTGTATGTTATTTATGAAAGTTATTAAGAGAGTAAATCCTAAGAGTTCTCATCATAAGGAAAAATACATTTTTTTAATTTCTATTTTGTACCTCTATGAGGTGATGGAGGTTCACTAATCTTATTGTGGTAATCATTTCATGATGCATGTAAATCAAATCATTATGCTCTACACTATAAACTTATACAGTGCTCTATGTCAATTATATCTCAATGAAACTGGAAGAAAAAAGAAAAATAGTAAATACATGGAAGAGATTTACATGCATCATTCACTGACCAAAACAATTAAGCTTTCCTCTACTTTCTCCTGCCTTTCTCACTTCCTTCAAGTTTTGCCCAAATGGTACCTCCACAACTTATAGTCCTGTTTAAAATGGCAACTTTCTCCCCACTCCCAACACTGCTCTTTATGGCATTTATCACTTCCAACCTACTATACAATTTACTTCTTGTTGGTGTTTATTGCTGATGTTTCCACACAAGAATGTAAGCATCACCAAAGTGGACAATTTTTTTTTCTTTACTGATTGTATCTTAAATACCTAGAGCAGTACCTGGCATTGAATGATATTTTTGACTATATGAGCAAAGTTTTAGTATTGCTTCTCAGACCCTCTATTTATAATGAAAAAAAGAACAACAAAATATTTAGCATTACTATTTGGGGACTGAAGTTATTAAGTTATTACATACTAATTTTAATAATAAATTAAATTAGCAATATAAATATATAAGGTAAAACAAAGTGAGCCTGTTTTTAATTCATTATTTTGAGCCCTTAATTTTCTTTTTTGCAACTAAAACTGGTAGTTTTAGTTGAATCATACTCTTGTCTTTATTTGGTCATTCTGCAGTAATGTTTTTTGCACAAGGATCTTAACAGAGCCATGAAGAACTTGAGTATCTTTTTGACTTTCTGTTTTTGATTAGATTTCTTCAAGGACATGTTCTTCCAAACCTGTCCAGCTCAGAGAATTTACATGGAGTGCTGTAATCTTGAGGACAGTAAATACCCGTGGTAGCTGGCGTTAGTCACAGGATGGTGCATTTTAAGGGATGAAACATTTTGTGTCTCTAGATAGCTTCACAAAGGTGGCTTAGATCAGTGTTCCTTAAACTTTATTGTAGGCGTCTTCCTCCTTCTCCTACTGCAGGGCCAGAGTCCCTGAGGGAGTCCAGCTGTGTTTAAGTCTGGCGGGTGCCACCTGTCTCTGCCATGCCCCCCAAGAAACAGGCTCAGGCTGGGGGCAGCAAAAAGGCGGAGCAGAAAAAGGAGAAGATTATCGAAGACAAAACTTCTGATCTAAAGAATAAGAAAGGAGCAAAGCAACAGAAGTTTATCAAGGCTGTCACTTATCAAGTTAAACTTGGTCAACAAAATCCACTTTAGGTAGCATAAAGTGAAGCTGAAAAGAAGTTGAAGAAAGATGACAAGAAGAAGGAATTGCAAGAGCTAAATGAGTTGTTCAAACCTGTAGTTGCCGCTCAAAAAATAAGTAAAGGTGCAGATCCCAAATCCATGGTATGTGCATTCTTCAAGTAAGGACAGTGTACTAAAGGAGATAAGTGTAAGTTCTCTCTTGACTTGACTCTGGAGACAAAATGTGAAAGGCGAAGTGTTTACATTGATGCAAGAGATTAAGAGCTTGATAAAGATACTATGGACAATTGGGATGAGAAAAAACTGGAAGAAGTAGTAAACAAGCAGCACGGTGAGGTGGAAAAGAAAAAAACAAAAACTCAAATAGTGTGCAAGCATTTCCTTGAAGCTATTGAAAACAACAAATATGGCTGGTTTGGGGTATGCCCTAGAGGGGGTAATATTTGCATGTATCATCATGCACTTTCTCCTGAGTTTGTCTTTAAAAAAGATAAAAAGAAGAAAAAGAAGATGAAATTTCATTAGAAGATCTAATTGAAAGAGAGCATTCTGCCGTAGGTCCAAATGTTAACAAAGTTACATTAGAATCTTTTCTTGCATGGAAGAAGAGAAAAAGACAAGAAAAGATTGATAAACTTGAGCAAGATATAGAAACAAGGAAAGCAGACTTCAAAGCAGGGAAAGCATTAGTGATTAGTGGTTGTGAGGTGTTTGAATTTCGTTCTGAACTGGTTGACGATGAGGAGGAGGAAGCTGATGATACCTTTTATACCCAGGGAACAGGTGGTGATGAGGTTGATGATTCAGTAAGCATAAATGACATAGATTTAAGCCTGTACATCCCAAGAGATGTAGATGAGACAGGTATTACTGTAGCCAGTCTTGAAAGATTCAGCACATATACTTCAGAAAAGGATGAAAACAAATTAAGTGAAGCTTCCGGAGGTAGGGCTGAAAATGGTGAAAGAAGTGATTTGGAAGAGGACAACGAAAGGGAGGGACAGGAAAATGGAGCCATTGATTCTGTTCCTGTTGACGGAAGTCTTCTTACTGGGGAAGATTTGGATGAACTAGAAGAAGAATTAAACACACTTGATTTAGAAGAATGACACCAAACAAGTCAATGAAAAAATTAAGCCAGCTCAGCATGAGTTGAAATTGACTACATTAATTTTTTTCCACCTAGAATTCAACAGGATGTTTGTTTCCCATGCTGATTCTGGAGGGCTTACTCTCCCCCCAAAAAGGAATATTCTCCCTACATCTTGTCTTCTGACTTTGGCTACATCTCATAGTAAGTTCAGAGTAGTTCATGATAAATTAAAAATATAATGGTCATTGCAGAAAATGATTGATTATTTTAACTGTCCACTCAAGTAGGAAGTGTAACTGCTTTTCCAGCTTTTGATTTTCATTGGGTATGTGTTATTAGAAGGACAACATAAATTTAAATTACCCTTCATTTAATGCAGTTTTTAATGAGTGATTTTCTTTCCTTTGTATTTATATGTTCAAAAGGCTGCCTAAGATATGAGCCTGTACTTCATAAAGGAAACTGTGTATGCAGATTCAGTATTGTATATCTTTGGACAATTAGATGGACATTTAAAATGAAACTTCATTAGTCTGCCAGGATCAGCTGCAATGCCCTGTGTTAAACTGTTTTAAACTATTCCTTTTCTTTTTTGCCAATAAAGTTGTAAATAAAGACCTTGATACATTGAAATCCAAAAAAATAAAAATAAAACTTTATTGTATATGCAAATTACCTGGGAATCTTAAAAAAATGCATATCAAGAGTAGGTAGATCTCCAGTAGGGCTCTAGATTCTGCATTTCTAATCAACACCCAGGTGATATTGACACTGTTGATGCAATAAACACCCTTTGCATAACAAGGGTCTAGATTAAACTTTTTTATTGTCATTAACCTGTTTCCTACCTGAATTAAACTTCAATTTGATTTCTTAAAGGGCAATGAGGAGAAAACTTACACACTTTTTCTTTCATAGTTTAAAACCATCTGGTAACATTTTTACTCAATAATATTAATTATGAATTTCAAGTTTGTGTACAGTAGCATTTTCAAAGAAATAAGAGAGTTAGTTTTTAGGAACGATCTAAAGACAGGTGTAGATTTTATTCTCTAATGAGGTTCAAATTTAGGACTGTAATGAGCCTCGCTGAAAAAGTGAAGCTAAATGGCAGATTTGTTTTGATAGAGACCGAGAATTATAAGTGCGTGCTGGCTTTACATGTCTTTGAAACTCTGTGCTATAAAAACACAGAAGCCAGGAAATGAACCCAGCCAAGTGATTCCACTCTCTAAAGATGTCAGAATCAGTTCTCTGCGATGTCCAAATATTCCTCCTTCAGAAGTGAAGGAGGAAAGGCCTCAATCATCTGTAGCTGAGTAAACCAAGAGCACTTTTTCTTATGTAAATCAGTCACAGTTCCTTAAAGAAAAGCATCCTTCCTCCTGAAGACAGCTGAAACATACATCTCTTATTCTAGTTCAGGCTTTGTTTTCTCTGAAATTGGAGAGGAGGACTATTGAAATTTTGTCTTTATTCTTTTAAGAAAAATGAGCTAGCTTAGAGAACAGAAGAATTGGGGTATGCGTGTGGAAGAGAGACACTCAATGCTAGTGTCCCAAGTACCTCAAGTTTCTCGTTTTGACTCAGAATTATAAAACAACAATTTCTTTGACCCAATTGCCCCGGTTGGGGCTGGTCCGAGTCCCCTCATTGGTCACTGGGAGATCAGGTTCTGCATGTCTGCTCACCAAGCATTCTCCTAGCTATTAGTAACTGTCTTCACTTGGAATTCTCTTTTATGACTCAGTGCAACTCTTATGTTTGGGCTGGGCAACCTTCAAGTTCTTACTTAATCCAACCTGATGCAATCTGAGTGGAAACAGACTGTGCTCCCCTTTTTCTTAAGAAAAAAATTGGTAATATCACTGTGGCTGGAACAGTTAGGGAAACTTTGAGAAGAAAATAAGAAAATCATGGCTTAACTGGGGATTTTAATGTGACAAAGTGTGGGAGTTCTTACGGTCATACGAGTGCACTAACACGGAAGTATTTGCCTTTGAAATTGGGTAAACTGAGCTTAAAATTTGCATGGGGGCAAATTAGCATGTGGTATCTCAAGATCTCATAATTCTCCTTTCAGAGAACATCTGCTTTCTAAAGGAAAGCTGGCAGACCATGCTGCAGGTAAAAGTCGAGATCATTTGTGACAAAATCAACTTCAGTAGTTAATGTAACACTCTAAAGCAGGGGTTCTTAACTAGGTGTTGTACCCAGAAGCTTCAGTGATTACATAGGGCACTTGTACAGTTTACTGGGAGAGGGTATATTAGTTTTCATCAGATTGTCAAATGATTCTGTGATTCTCCCAGAAAGGTGAAGAACCATATCACTTGTGTCTCTCAAAATTTAAAACATTTGTGACTTGGAGCTAAACATTCCATCTTCAGGAATCTATCTGACATAAATAATCATCCTAGTGAACAATTTCTGAATTGTTTGTAATAGTCAAAGAATAGAAAAAACCTTACATATCTATCAATAGAAAATAGTTTAAAATATTATAGCACATTTATATTATGGAATACTATACTGCCGTTAAAAATAATAAGGCTTATATTGAAAACTGTCTCAGATGTCTTGTTAACTTAAGAGTCTTCTGTTCATCAGATGATCAATTAAGCATCCATGATGTGCTAGACACTTTGGTACCAGGGATAAAAATAAGGAAATACTGACCCTTCTCTAGTTTCATTTTACTTAAGGTCTAGATGAGATCAATATGTATTTATGATATGTGGATAAAGATATAAGTGCTAGTGTTTGCTTGCATATGTGTATTTTCATATACATATCAAAAGTTTGGAAAAGTATAAATCAAGAAACAAGATTTTAACACCAGGGATTTGAAAAGGAGGAAGAGACGTTCAATTTTTCTTTTATTTTGTTTGAATTTATTTTAAAATGTCTATTACTTTGGTAACACTTAAATATTTTTAATCATTTACTTAAAACTCTGGGGGAAAGCATTGCTTTTAAGCTGAGTGTATAACTGGTTACCATAGTCTTCATAGTAACAAAAAAATTTGTAGGCTTAATTTTTAAAAAAAAATTTTTGATACTAACAGCCAATTTGACAATCTTTTTGTATTTAAGACAATTTTTAAAACTGTCCACTGGGTCTCTATTCTACTCCCGTGTAATAGTGATTACACATGAAACCCTCTTCTTATCCCTTTTCTTTGGATCTATTGCAGACATATCAAATAGTTTCCCAATCCACAGTGTTATTTGGCATACAAAATACTGACACCAACCCTGGAAGAATTAACAGTTATTTGGGTTAGATTAAAAAGTGTTTTGTTCAGTATCTAACCACCAACCACATGCTCTTGGAGATCTTTTTGGCTATGTGTTTGATTCTCCAAGTACATTTTTTAAGTCTCTAAAACTCAGGGCTCAACATTTGAGTATGATTTATACCATGTTTTACCAAGTCTTTGTGGGAACGTCTACAAAAGATATTGTGCCTATTTCAATGACTGTACAATGACTGATCTTGTCATTCATCAATTCTTCCATGAAAAGAGTACATATGTATTGGTTGAGCTGCACTGGAGGACCATGACAGGAGTCCAGCTGGTGTAGAGGAGTCCATAAATGGTATTTGAGCACTACCTAAAGCATCGTAAAGAAGCATATGAAAAAATGACTCATATGTTAACCTCAGAGATAAAGAGCCCTAATGTTCATCACTATCAGTTCTCTCCTCCTGAGGACACCAGGAGTGTTACACATTCCAGCCACCTTGCAGTTTGGTGGGGCCACACACTAGTTCTGGCCAAAGGACTGGGAATAAACTAATGTACATTAATCCAAAGCTAACATGCTTAATTGATAGAGAAAACCCTTCCAACATACCTTTTCCCTTCCATGGTGATTTCAAAAGCCACCACAGCTGGAGTATGCAGCTGCAAGGTGAAGCTGCATCATGGTAACATCGTTGTCAGCCTGGATCCCTGAGTGGCTTCATGGACACTAGCTGCCCTTGGAGAGTGGCCAGGACCATGACATGAGCAATAGGCCTATGTTACGTTAACAACCGAGGCTTAAGGGTGTTGCTTCCTGCTGCATAATCCAACCTGTTTTGACAAACACAACCATACTTATGTCCAATGAAATTTCAGTTTCTTTTAATTTAGTTTTGTTTAAAAGATTAATTTTTAAGAGTCTGATATGTACCAGGCACTGGTTTGGGTACCAGAAGTACAAAGATGAAAACTCTCTAAACTGAAGGAGCACTTGCATTAGAACCACCTGGAGTGCTTCTAAAAATAAAAAATTCCTGAATTCAGACTTATTGGAAGAGAATGTCTAGGCATGAGGACCTAGAACAAGCTAGTCAAATAAGTCTTGTGCATCTTTATGTTTGGGACTGATCTAATGGTAGATAAGGACACACAGGTTATTTTGATTTATTCCTGTAGATATAAAAGTAGGCTGTTGTACGTGACTTGTGAGAACTATGAGACCCCCGGTGGAGTTCTGCTTAGCAGACTGGACCATAATGGCACCGCTCAGCCGTGTGTTTTGGGCAGGACTATTTCAATGACTATACAAAGACAAATTTGCTTGAAACAAAAGTCAGATCTCCATTTCCAAAATAAATGGAAGAATTGAAGAGGTTTTCACTGTCATGGAACTTTTGCTAATTTAAACTAAAAAAAAAAAAAAAAGAAAAGAAAAGAAAGAAAAACCACTGATTTTTAAGTGACTGACTGAATTTACATTCTTAATTTATAAGTGTATACATTTTAAACACCAATAACAGGGTTGTGATGCAGTGGCTGGGATGGTAATAAATATTTTTAAAGGAGCTTCATAACTCAGGATTTGGGTATAGAAACAGAAACCACTAATTTTTTATTTATTTATTTTTGGCTGGGTTGGGTCTTCGTTGCTTCACGCGGGCTTTCTCTAGTTGGGGCGAGCGGGGGCTACACTTTGTTGTGGTGCGCGGGCTTCTCATCGCAGTGGCTTCTCTTGTTGCGGAGCGTGGGCCCTAGGCGCGCGGGCTTCCGTAGTTGTGGGTCACAGGCTCTAGAGCACAAGCTCAGTAGCTGTGGCACACGGGCTTAGTTGCTCCGCAGCATATGGGATCCTCCCGGACCAGGGCTCAAACCCGTGTCCCCTGCATTGTCAGGTGGATGCTTAACCACTGTGCCACCAGGGAAGTCCCGGGAAACAACTAATTTTTAAACACTCATTGGTTAAAAGAAATTGAAATAGAAGGAAGTCTTACTCTTCTAGCAGGAACATTTCTGCTCTGTCCATGCTAGGAAGATGTTCTTGTCCACATTCTCAGTATGATTATATGAGCTTTCAACACATCCGTGCCTTTGTTCTAGTACTGATCCAAATCAAATGCACTTTGCAGATCAATAAATAATTATCATATACAGAATTTATATGTACCATTCCCATCACTTAGCTGTCTGCATTCTGTTAACTGCGTTTGGGCAGAATTTAGAATTTGAATGAACGTAATTGCAAATAGCTTGTCATGATCCATAAAGGGTTTTATGAAATGGGAATGCAGGAAAGCTCTCTTTTTACCATCCTGACGACAGCAGAAACTGGGATTATCTGGAAAGTAAACAAAAATTTAGCTCAACAGTCTCAATTTCCAGACCTACTATATAT